TCTAGGAGCACGACGGGTCCTGAAAAATTTCAACCCAACCATGTGTACAGTTTCCACAAACTTGTTGTTCATATCGTCCACCGTTTCGCACTCGTCTAGGCATTGGAAGCGATTTTGGAGTTCGAGTCGAAAGCTCTCGGGGTTTTCGTACTCGGCAGGTGTGGGACGTAGAGTAGACTTCATCAGTCGGGACCGCTCGGCTTTGACACGAATATTCAATGTGCCTCGTAACATTCGGTGATCGCTCCCGGTTTTCACCCTGTTGATCACTGAGACATCATTGAATATTTGCCGTTTGTCTGACAAGATAAAGTCTATCTCGCTCCGTGTCGAAACATTAGGGCTTATCCAGGCCCATTTCCTTTGTTGCGACTTTTTGAAGAAGGAATTCATCACATAGAGATTTTCCCTCTCCAAAAAATCAGCCAACTTCTGCCCTCTCTGGTTTCTCTGCCCGAATCCGAATTGCCCTACTCTCAACTCACCGCTTTTCCTTTTGCCTAGTTTTGCGTTAAAGTCTCCCATAACCACAGTGAAGTGAGTTTTGAATGAGCGGATGGCTTTCGAGATATCCTCGTAGAGAGCCTCCACCTCGTCGTCGGGGTGCGTCGAGGTCGGTGCGTAGACCTGGATGACCTTCAGCGAATACCGTTTGGTTATTCTGAGTATTAGGTACGCTACCCGACTCGACACACTCTCAATCCTCTCCACGTTGGCTGCGAGAGACTTACGAACGATAAACCCGACACCGCCCTGCGACAAGTCGTCGCCTTCCCGGTGATAGAGCAAGTTTCCAGACCGGAGGGTTATCGTGTCCTCCCCCTGTCTTCGGACTTCTGACAACCCTACAATGACCCACCGAATCTTGCTCAATTCCTCTTCCAGCTTGCAAACCTCTTCCTCTGGCAATCCTCTCGTCAGTCCTGAGCGTGCGAATATTGTGTGTTACCAGGGCCAGAGTCTGTTTTATTTGGTGGTCGGATCTCGACCGGAGATTCTTCGCACCCCGTACCCCACCGTTACCAGGCCCGCCACCGTGAGCCGGAATAGCGGGGTCGCCATGACTCGGGGCCGTTGTGTTAATGCCTCTATTCATTTGGGGGGTTATTGCCATAATCGCCACGCCGGCAGGCGGGTTGGCGATCGCAGTAGATGTAATGTTACTCAGGAGAACGCTGCTGCCCGTTCTCCTGGCGATCCCTTAGTCGCCTTTTACGACACCCACGGGAAGAGATGGGGAGGTGCAATATTCTATGCCCCAAATGCCGAATTACCCCAAAATATGATTCATTAGCCGTGGGCACCCCACGGTAAATGCTCATTCTACATTTATTTTACAAAAGAGGTGTTTGCGAATTATATATAAAATTGACCCACTTGAGACCAGTATTTATAAAATATAGATACCTAACATTGACTTGTATATATATAAAGAAAATATAACTAGAAAAAATTTCTAGTTATATTTTCTTTAGATTTAAACATCAAGCAGTTACATGCTTTAAAAATAATAAAAATTATTGTATATATATATTTGAAATATGTGTGTTTGTAAAAATCATGACGAATATTTTTGTAAAAAAAAACTGACTAAAGCTAATATATGAGCCCAATATAAAAATGACATTCTGCATTATCGACTAGCTATATATTTGACAAAAGCTCTTAAATAAGTAGAATTAAAATATTTAACAATTTGCCCAATGACATTAAAGATTTAAATTTAATGGAATTTAAAATTAAATCAAAGAAATGGTTAATAGTTAAATGTTTTTATAATTTAAAAGAGTATTTTCGAAATTTTTAATAGCATTTACCTCCTATAATGAATATTGTACGTCCGAAACGGACAGCTGCCTAGAACTAAGAAATTGCTTGTAACACCATTGTACTCAGCATGACAATAAAGCTTTCTGTTCTGTTCTGTTCTGTTCTGTTCTGTTCTGTTCTGTTCTGTTCTGTTCTGTTCTGTTCTGTTCTGTTCTGTTCTATTCTAATCAAACATTTCTAACCTTGAAGATCTCTTTTGTTTGTGGAATCTATAACATCATTTGTATACTCTCTCAAATATTAATTTAGATTCCAAAATTGCATCCAACACATGAAGTTGAAACACTTCATCCAAATAATTAAAATAATTCTAAGAATATCTACAAACACCTGATTATGAAGCTTTGACAGACATTGAATAGAAGGTGTTTCTTTCGTTTTCAGATTTCATAGAATTAATCAATAATTCCGATTACAGTTCTGTAAACATTTGCAGGTTAAATAATCGAAGCGAGCGAGAATTGAGTCGCGAAGCATAATTAATGATAAAAGGAACTTACCTGTACCTACGTGAGTACAGGTAAGTTCTTTTATATTTATGTGAACAGCTCAATTTGAATCGATTAATGGCTATCACCCAACCCCTTTTTCAAGGTTCTCGCTCGCTTATAGGTATTCTTTTTAAGAAGTGAAGAGCAAAATAAATATAAAACTAATTGGCGTTTATTCGTCGACTATCTAAAATTGGCACTGCTGTATTGTCAAAGTCCCGTCTCTAAGATTATTATATACTCAAACGCAGTGTCATGTCCTTGTCTCATTATTTGTGTTATCTATATGATTCACAGAAATATATAAAATACTAATCTATGACGTGAATATCGCAGGTTATCGAAAGTGGTCACCGGTGGCAACTGCCTTAGATCGCTAAAATATACAATCACCTGAGCTGAGAAAAATTCATAATATTTGACTATTCCACGCTGGGCCCATTGCATAACAAGATTGCGCTATGACTCGGCCCGCGGTCCCAGGTGTGGATTGGTGGGAGGTGTATAAATAGTTATAACTTCGTTCGGACCGAGTGTTCCACGACACTCACGCAATTTTTTATCAAATTAAAATAAACTACTACATTATCGAAATACTTATAAGAGTAGGGTGATGCAAGGGGTAATTTACATGTGAAACAATAGAAATCAACAGTAACGCGAGCGAAAGCGAGCGTATTAATAAAGAAAGTGTGTTCATAATGTACATACTAGCGAAAATATTAATACATAAAAATACCTATTTTCGTAATTATTTTTCAACATTTAGGAAAGAACTTTATCACAATTTTATTATAAGTACTAGCTTCTGTCCGCATCTTCGTATAGGATAAGATACTTCGAGTACCCTATTTTCTTTTCCTACGTCTCACATCTTTATTTATAAATACTAAAATTCATCAATTTTCTTCTCTAACCGCTCCCGCAGTCGCAGTCCTGCATAGTAGGTAACTACACTACACAATCACTTTGTCATAAATGACTTAATGGGGAAGGCAAAGTTCATGCTCTTTAAAAAACCAGGAGCGATAAAAGTATTTGTTTGATAAAAAATTATATTTTTTAGTTTTAACGGGTTATTGCACGAAACTTTATTTATTTATTGACGTTTCGCAGCCTTTTCAGGTCTGCTTCGTCAGAATGATTTTTTATTTAATTTTGTCGAGCTACCTTCGAAGTTTTGTGCATTTACCCGTTAAAACTAGTTTTATTTAAACAATATTTTCCTGTTACAAAATGTTCATTTTAGAAATATATGTCAAAGTTTATTTCATTTTCATACATTTACACTATACATTATATTCATGTAACTCGTGCTGTTTTGCAGCGAGGGCCCAAATAACACGTAGATTTGGTCAATTCACTCAATGGCTTCATAAATTATAATCTATATTTAATTATTATGTATGAGCTATGTTATTGGGAAGTTTCATTACAATTCATTCAGTTGTTTATGCGTGAAACATTAACAAAATCCATATAAATCTATGATTGAAATTAAAAGCGCAAATGATTGTTGTACAACTTTAAATCGTTGTATATTCTAATCAAATATTTGAAAGAAGAAACCTAAACATGATTTTCGATTATCTAGACAATGATACCCCACTCGACGTATTATTATATCGTCAACAATTATTTTTCTTATTCACAATGTGGCGCCTTGTCTCCATATTGAATTTCGTCTTAATATTCATGACTTTAGTAGCACTCCCATGATTAGGACGATGTGTTCAGAAAGTATATGTCATAAAATGCATCGGTTTCTCGTTCATTAGGTTTGAATACTTAGATATTTAAGTACACACCGAAAAAAATATACATACAATTACCACTTTATTACTATCACTTTGAAATAATATTAGAAGGCTTTTCATAGTTAAGGTTTGTTTATTTTTTTATTAGCTGCAATTTTGGTTACATTACATTTTTTGTAAAAACTCAAAGTTATTGAGTTATTTATGAAAAACCGCTTTAAAATATGTACTTTTAACACGAAAAATATATATATAATAATCTTTGATCTATAATAGCTCAGAAAGTATTGATTTATTCCAAAAACTTTATATAACAAAATTTGCTTAGAATTTGTCACTCTATCGATTCCTTGAGTTATTTTTATTAAAATAATTTTCATTCCCGAGAAGGGGTGGCATCTACCCCGAGGGCAAAAGCGCACTATGTCATTTTTTTTTCTCCACCTGCTCTCCAATTTTCATGAAAAACGATGGAGGTTCAATGAAATCGGAGGTGAAAACCTTCATTGACTGGACTATAAACCCAAAAGGGGGTTTATTTCTAAAAAAACATTATTAGTACACCTCTACACCTACACTACATAGATCATTCATGTTAAATTTCAAGTCTCTTACTTGAAAAACAAAGTACTTTCATACAAACTTCCAAGCCCCGTATTACCCCCTTAAGGGTGGAGTTTCGTGATAATATGTAGCCTATATGTTGACCCGACTTCTTATTAATATTCGTGCCAAATTTAAAGTAAATCCATGGTACTTTTTGAGTTTTTCCCGGACATCGATACAGACAAACAGACAAAAATTCTAAAAACTCTATTTTTGGCTTCGGTATCGATAGTAGACCCCAAGTAGTCTTTTGAAAAAATATTCAATGTACAGTTTTGACTTTCCTACCATTTATTATATGTATAGATGATTTTAGTAAATGAGCACCTATATAAGTACAGGCATCCTCATCATAGTCGACAGTCGACAGAGTGACTCGGACGAGATTCCAGGTTTTAAACAGAAGGTCTTAGACGAATATATTATAAAAAGTAGCCGTTGGCAATCAAGATGAAGACTGCATTAGTATTCACTGTTTTGATAGGTAAGCATTTTTATTTTTATTATGTACTTATTATGATTAAATTTTCCCTTTAACAATTTATCAAGTTTATTTAAGCGAGCCCATGAAATTTACTCTCATAATCTGTACAAATCACCATGATTTCACTGTTTTTATCAAATTGTGGCTATTCATAAGATGTTATATCTTAAGAACCTTACCTGCTTATGTTTATTTAAAGAAAGCGTTCATGGATATCAGTCTCAATCATATGGCTTGGCCCAAGGAACAATTCAAGTTTTATAACTTTTTCTATAATATTACAGTCTAATCCGATACACAAATAGGTGCCTACTACAAATTGTTATAAGTAGTATTGTATTATCTGTAGTCCCCATAGATTTAAAACTCATATCATGGAATTAAAAGCATTTAAAGAAACTAGAAAAAATCCACGCGGTCCAGATATCAGACGGTACTTAACCCTCGGACGGATGCACTGACCAAATGCTACCGCGATCAATTCATTCTAGCAGTGCAATCTCTACGCATTGTAGGTAACCCACAATGGACCGGGTAGATTTTTTCTAGTAAAAATTTCGTTATATTTTAACGTCTAGCAGTTAATAAACTCTTAAAAAACAAAATATAATAAACTGAAAGCACATTTTGTTATGGTAATCAAAAACAACGAGAGTACTTATCTGTTAATGCTCCCAATAGTGGGGCATATGGATAGACGGAATAGCAACAACGTGTCATGGTGGGTTATGACCATGAGTTATGACATGTTGTTCCTATTCTGTGAGTCATCGGTTTGTGCTGACGACTGTGGATGAGATAATACAGTTTTGGTCATCCATTCTATGACCTGCCATTGCTTTACTCCTCGGACGCGATAACGATTGCACTATCGGCCTTTCCAATCTGAAACCACGTTGACAAGTCTTTCTATTTAACCGTTGGAGTCGAATCTGTGACCTTCTAAGGTCATTATCGATATTTATTTATACTTAATTGCAAAAATAACAGAAAGTGGCGGGCATAATGCCACAAGGCATTCTATATATAAATAAATAAAGTATACAAGAAATATCTTATTAAAATAGCTTTTGCTCTCAACTTCGATTCCGTGTATTTCGGTCGTTATTATGTCCGTGTTAATAATATCTGTAAAGACTGTTTAATGTGGATGTGTCATTAAGTAACAAATAAAACCATTGTTTTAAAGCATTTAATTCTAAATTATTCTAATTACTTACCTACTCATTAAATTTATGTCTGTTTCCTTTAGTCACGCTTTAACTTAACGACTTTACTAATTGTATCCATTTTTTTTAAGTTTTCTAATACTTTGTAGAAGCCATGGTAGAAGGTTTTTACCACATTTTACGAAAAAAAATTAGAAAGTTGCGTAGAAAATTTAACTTACAACTGCCCGATAGGTGGCGCTGCAGTCAGTCTATTTTTTTTTACTGGACAGAGAATTTGGGTCCACTTGTATGATATAAAAAAATATCCGAAATGATAATAGCATTAATTTTTTATTTACAGCGTGTCTGATCCAAGAAGGGCTGGCAAATGTAAGTACTAGTCTAAGGGCCCATGACACTAAACCCTAATGACGTGACTTATTATAACTATCTATATGAATTTAGATAACAAATGAAGGTGATTAGCACCGCTTTAGACATATGTTAAGCGATTGAGTCAATTCATTATTAATAATTATAATATTTTAAATACTTGTCTTATGAACAAAACATATTTTATTTATATAATGATGTGGTAACGCCGGTATGGTTTAAACTTATGTTGGTTTGATTTCAATTCCCTAATGACTAAGTTTTTTTTTTCGTGACAGGAAGCGTGTTCTCCATTGTCAGAACCAGACTTCAGAGCACCAGGTCGTCGATTAAGCGAAGAAAGTAAGAAATCTTTATTTTTATACAAGATGCAACAAATTTTCTCATCCCAAGTCCAGTCGTGAATATTAATGCGACCTTGCTGGCCTGAATCTGGCCCAATCCCCTCTCCGTGGAGCCCTATAACCTTATTTACCAATAGAAAAAGTGTTTCTGTTGGTAAATAAGGCTACCAAAAAAGTGTTTTTTAGTTATAATTTTAATAATAAAGCATGTATGTAACTGTTCAATGTTGAAATCTAAAGAAAATGTTACTAGAAAAAATTACACGCGGACCAGGCAGCAGATGGGACTCAATCCCCCCCCCCCCCCCCCCCCCGACGGTATCCGGGCAAATAAACTGACTAATTAAGAAAATTAAGGCGCGGTAGCAAATTGGTCAGTGCATTCGTCCGGATACCGAAGGGTGCGAGTTTGAGTCCCGTCTGCTGCCTGATCCGAGTACGATATCAACAGCTGTAATAGTAAACAGAACATTTAACCCAAAAAATGGAAGTAGTAAGTATACATAGTTTTATTATTAACTGTGGTCATTTGTAACGAAGAGGTTACTTCCGTTAATACTATGTAATAATACTGAATAACTAACTATAACTTTAATAATTTATTGGTACCATCTTTAGTTTGTTTCTCATGGTTTATTTGTAAAAGAACATTATTTTAATTTTTTACGTTCTAAACAAATTTTTTGACAAATGATATTAACCCAAAAAGCACAAAAATAAATGTCTTACTTTTATTTCAGGGTGCCGCGAATACAATTGGGAGAGAAAATGTTCATCTGGCCAGGGTAAGCAGCAACATTAAATTTTTTAGTTGATTTACATTCTTAGTTTTGAGTTGTGCGAGTGTAAGAAAGAAATATTTCTAACACTTACACCAATTAGCCTAGCCCCAAAGTAAGCACTGTTAGGCTTGTGTTATGGGATAGGTACATGGTAACGGATATAAATACATAACAATGATACATATATAGGTAAGTGTATTTGAATGTTTTAATGAAACTTCGTGGGATTGTTGGGTTACGTATATAGAGTATCTCTGTTTTTTTTTCGGATTTTTTAAAAGTACTTATTACGTTTCTCAGTTTACCGTGTTAATTAAGTTAACGTAAAAAAATATATGGCCGTTTATGTTGTGTTTCGACAAATTTGTACGGAACCCTCGGTGGGCAAGTCCGACTCGCACTTGTTCTTTTTTATATATCAATTGATTTTTGGTCTTTGGAGATGGATTAATTTTTGATGACGGACAATTTGTTTTTTTTTCAGATGTCGAAGTCAATGAACATCCTTATTTGGTAAGTATTTACTTTGCATAATATAAAGCTCCACTTGTAGACAACTTTATTATTTTATTTGTTGACATCCTTTCCGAACAGATATAGTTGCTTGAATAAGCTAATTGAAAAGTAATCGAATCGGATGTAGAAAAATAGTAGTTAAATGTCTAGATGAAAAAAATGAGATTTTATGAAACCACAATGTCAGTGAAACTTTTAAAAACAGTAATAAAAAAATCCTTCTAGGCTGGAATTCGAAACCAGGCCGCGCACGCAATAGATTCTATCACTGAACCACCGATTTGTTGATTAGATCAGATTTTTAATAACAATTAGATATGTAATGCCACATGCTAAAGTTGATCGAAAACAAATTGTGACGATATAATAAGTTTCCTTTCAAAAATCATACTTAATAAAATATAATTTTGTCAGGGTGCCATCGCATACAGGAACGAGAATGGAGATTTGATTTTTGCAAGCGCAGCAACCCTCATCAGTCCAAAGTTCGCAGTGACTGCTGGACACTGTTTGCGGCATCTGGATATGACGCCTGAGTTCGTCAGATTCGGCAACAAGAACATTACATCTGTAAGTGCCTGTCTAAAAATCTAATTTTCATCCCCCATCTCGGAAAGAATATTTTTGCTCCTCGATGTCTAAGTGAAAAATCCGTTTTTATCCGCTAGAGGATAAAGTAAATTGTATTTAGAATATCGTGTTTGTCAATTGTAAACATCAATAAACCTTTTTACCTACTACTGTCTCCATGGTGCCAAATTCATCATACAATACTCTTTTAATTTGTTAAATCTCAATCTCAATCTCGATATCCGTTTTGGTGTATTTTTTTTAATTTATAAACACATTAATATTGTTAAAACCTTAGGTTAAAAACAAGAAACTTGTAACAAGTAAATACCTAAAATGAGTAATCCAATCGATTAATTTACGTGTTGCACTTGAGTTTTAAGATTTTTCTCCTCCTGCTTTTTGGTTCCCTCGCTAATGCTGAGAATTCTAATTTTTTTTTTTTTTTTTTTACAACAGGGTTACAACGAAAGTCGTACTGAATATTGAAGGACGTTATTATTCAGGTCATTTCTGATGGATTTGGTCCTATAATATGGTGTTCAAAACTTAACCGTTATGGAGATATTGGATATTAAAGATATTTTTAATAAATCCTATATTTTTTGGGTTACTGTCGATTTTTTTGAAATTAGAGCTCCAAAGGTCCGATTTTTTAATGAATCTAGTTAGAAGACATGTCAAGCAATAAAAATAATGAATAAAAACTGAACTTACTTCTAACGGCTTAAAAAACTGCTCGACAACGGTTGTAACTAAAGAATTTTCACCAAGTGTTGTTAACTTTGAAGCGCTTTCCTAAAAAAACATGTATGGAACTTATTCTGCAAATAATTTTAAAAACTTATACGTCTCTTTAGCTATTCAAAAAGGTATAACACTTGCTCTTGCTATTTGCAGAATAAGTTCCATACATTTTTTTTTTAGAAAAGTGCTTCAAAGTTAAGAACACTTGGTGAAAATTCTTTAGTTATAAACGTTGTCGAGCAGTTTTTTTAAGCCGTTAGAAATAGGTTCAGTTTTTATTCATTATTTTTATTGCTTGACATGTTTTCTAACTAGATACATTAAAAAATCGGACCTTTGGAGCTCTAATTTCAAAAAAATCGACAGTAACCCAAAAAATATAGGATTTATTAAAAAAATCTTTAATATCCAATATCTCCATAACGGTTAAGTTTTGGACACCATATTATAGGACCAAATCCATCAGAAATGACCTGAATAATAACGTCCTTCAATATTCAGTACGACTTTCCCTGTAACCCCGTATATATATATATATATTATGTTTGGGTACTTTATAAAAATTATATGTTTTCTCTGTAAATTAATGCTGTTATTTCCCCAATAATAAATCAATAAAATGCGAAAGTGTGTTTGCCTGTCCGTCTACTCATGCTTAAACCGCTCTGAACCGATTTAAATGATATTTGGTAAGGAGATAGTTTGCGTCCCGGGAAAGGACATAAGATAGTTTCTATCCTAGAAATCATCGTTTAATTCTTTCACGCAGACGACAACGTAGCCAGCCATACCTACCGTACGTAGGTAGGTATTCAATTCCGATCATAAAAAAAGAATTCTATTAATATTAATCAGCGGCTAGTTCTGGTATTTATTTCATAGATATTGATTATTTTTTTTATATTACAGGAGACAGCTATTGACGCCAAAATCGTCAGAAAAAATTCTCACCCACAATATACTTATCGGATATTTAAAAATGATATAGGCCTTTTGGAGTTTGAGAATGCATTGCCCGTGAACAAGGCCGTCACACCCGCTTGTCTTTGGTCGCAAGAGATTGGCAGTGGTGCTGCAAAGGTGTCAGCTTGGGCAACCACGGGTATGAGCTTAATTTTATTTTACCTAAATACTTTTACGTATCTAAGTGTTAGTGAGAGGAGCTCGATGGTGCAAGTGGTTAGTGCATTCCGCTGCGATCGTTAAAGTTATGTATCTTTCCGAGTAGTCGATCAATGGATGGGTGACGAAAAAATTAACTATCTCGAGCTCCTCCGTGATTCGGAAGGCCGTTCAGCCTTTGGTCCCGGCTGCATCTGCAGTCACCATCCGCACTGGGCCCGCGTGGAGTGCCTGTGCCCCAACAGTGAGGATATTAAAAAGCTGATGATGATGAATGTTAGGTAAGGCTGTATTATGTATGGCCCCTTTACATGTTGGATCTTTGCGGCCAACAACGGTTTGGCAGGTATTGGAGTGATAGTCCGCTCAATTGTCACAGATGCGTGCAGTGTCGTTTTTTTATAGCTGGCGGTTTACATTGGGGTAAGGTGCTATAGGGCGAGGAGCTCGATGGCGCAAGTGGTTAGCGCGTTCGGCTGCGATCGTTGAATTTAAGCAACTTTCGCAGTGGTTGGTCATTGGATGGGTGACCAAAAATCTTCTATCTCGAGTTCCTCCGTGCTTCGGAAGGCACGTTAAGCCGTTGGTCCCGGCCGCATCTGCAGTCGTAAGCACCCACCAATCCGCATTGGGCTCGCGTGGTGGGTCATGGCCCTATCTCCCTATTCCATCCATAGGGAAGGCCTGTGCCCCAGCAGTGGGGGCATTAATAGGCTGATGATGATGATGAAGGTGCTATATAAAATGTTTTTTTTTTCCACTTATATATAAGACAGAATAAGATCCAATTATAAATAACTTGAGGCGATGTTAAACACTTTAAAAGTTTCACTTGCATCGAGGTTTCATAAAATCTCACACATTTTTTGATATTTCCTGTATTCATGTATCCTAGAATGTTTAATAACATTTTTTTTATATTATTATTATATCGTTATAATATCATTCACAGGTGGCAACAAATTACCTGACGTTCTGAGAACTATGACAGTGCAAATAATGGACTCCGAATCTTGTGAGAAGGCCGCAATTCCATATTTTCACAGACATTTCCCCAAGTTAGAGGGTCAACTTTGCGTCAACGATTCATCCGATCCTAAAGAGTACTTTTCTAAAGTAAGCCAAGCAAAACTTTAATTTCAGATGCGATTTAGTTATTTTATTGGTACCTAGTGGCCCGCCCTCGCTTCGCTTCGGTGTAGAGCTGTAGTGTAAACTATAGTTTTTGTTCTCAGGCTTGTGCTATAAAGAATGACTTTATTTATATAATTACACGTGTTATTGTGAGTCAACCATAAAAGATAGACATATGCTGTTGCGGGATATTTTTTAGACAATTTTATGTAGAATATTTCCGTCATACATGATTTCTATGTAACTTTAACCATTAAGGCTGCACCCGCGACGGAAGCTTAAAAATGGTGTAACTTCACCCGTTTTCCCAACATTTCCCTTCACTACTCTGCTGCTATTGATTGTAGCGTGATGAAAAGTATACTATAACCTGCCCAGGAGTATGAAGAATAATTGTACCAAGTTTCGTTAAAATCCGTTGAGTAGTTTTTGTTTCTATAAGGAACATACACACAGACAGACAGACAGACAGACAGACAGACAAAAAATTTACTGATTGCATTTTTGGCATCAGTATCGATTACTAATCACCCACTGATAGTTATTTTAAAAATATATTTCATGTACAGAATTGACATCTCTACAGATTTATTATAAGTATAGATGATTTGCTAGCTTAATGTTATTATATCTGTTTCTTATACAAAATCTATAATAAAAGGTAGCCGTTTCTGACTGATCTATCAACTCATAGTTCAAACTACTGAATGGATTTCGCCGAAATTCGGCACACACATAGTTACGAGTATAATGATGATATAGGCGTGCGCTAAGAAAGTACTTGACGACTTCCGCGACCGAATGGTTTGTACGTCGGATTTCATGGTGTCACCGACTCGAAGGGTACCCGGTTCGAATCCCGGTGGGGGCAGATGTTTGTGTGATGAATACGAGCATTTGTACTCCAGTCGTGTTTAATACGTATTTCTATATAAATATACTTACATTATGAACACTATATGACTGTATTATATCCGTTACCCTAGCATCCCATAAGACAAGCCTTTTGCTTACTTTGGGGTAAGGCTCATTGTCTGTGTGTGTAGTGTGTGTTGGAAATATTTATTTCCAACATACACTCACTATAAAAGGATAAAATAGGGGTTCAAAAGTTAAAGTTCTCTAGTAAATTCATATTAGCTTACTTACCTAATGCAACTCTTTGTTTGTAACGCTTTCATGCTTTTAACACTCAATAGATTATGCTGAATTTTGTAATAGAGATAATGTATAGAGATCAGTGCATCCGCCCGGACAATGGGAGGCCCAGGCATATTTCACCAAGTCGACATAATATGTGACTGACTTAACTAACATTTTGGTACGATTGTCCGGATTTTATTTTAACGACAAATATGTAGTGAAACAAGGGTAATTTTTTAAGTCGACATATTTGTCTAATTGTCAGTAATTCTTGAACTGAAATCGGGCTGTGTAAGATTTGCGTTACAATTGTATTGTTTACGTTGTTAGTTTCAAAATGGCTTTCCGCAAAAGCTTGAAAAGATGAATTCTTATAGAGGAGATTTTAAAAGAACAAATAAATTCTTTTGTATCACTGGTTTTGCGTTCAAACTTTGATATAATAGATCTCCCCAAAACAAACCATCGGCTTACAAATTTCAGCGACTTCTGTCGATTTGGTGAAATAGCGTTAGCACTGGTCAGGTTAAGTGAAGAAGGATTGTATTAAATTATAGCAGTATTCTGTTTGGTTTATAAAGCTAAACAACGGATTTTTTAAGTGAAATTTTCTTTAGATTATAAGCAGACTGTTATAGACTGTAGACGCCTTCCTCACTGGATTGAAGCGGGCTTGTTTCGTTTTCATTTCTGTACCGAATCTATACAGATTCTTTACCGAGACCACTTCTTGACCGGCTCGGTTTTGGTGCGGTATCGTTTTGCTTCGAATGGTTCGGTAGCAATCGGTACAGAGGGCTGTGAATCCGCTCGGTAAAGATTCTGTACCGAAACTACTCAGTGAGTAAGCTCTCATTTTATTATAATATGCACTCGGCAAAAAATATGTTCAGGGCACAGAAACCAGGTGAGGTAGACGATATATGTAAAAAAACATTAATTGGTATCGTATTTCTTAGGGGTCTTCTGGAGCGCCAATAGTTGTCTCAGCACCTGTCGCCGAAGGAGAAGACATGTCGTACGTTAAAGCCTTCGCTACGTTTGGCTCCCTGTATAGAACTGGCGGCATTACCTTTTACACCAAGATTCCCAATTACATCGATTGGATCGAACAACAAGTGTGGGGAATAACTCCATTTTAAGATGAAATAAAAATGTTATTTTGACAGAATGATATTCCTCATTGCCACCAGTGGTGGTGTATCTTATGACATAACACATTAATTTTGTATGATGTTACCAACGAAAACCCGATTTTCACATAACCGGTTTTTCTTCTTTTGATTATTGAATTTTTAGTTTCATACCAAAGTGTATAGTAAGAAAAACACAGAAAAAACACTCATTAAGATGTGGTATTAAAGTAACAATCTTTCCAACGACAAATAAATATATCTATCTGAGAGAGAGTGAGAGAGAGAACTATTTTATTGACCAATAAAAAACACAAGTCTTATCATATAAACAGCGGAAATAAAAAAACAAATATAAAAAGTAACCAGCACAAACATTTGTAAACTTAGCAAAGTTTCAATATTGGCCAATCAAGACCCTACCACAGCATAATGCTGCCGTGGCATGTAACAAAAAGCATTCAGACAGTGCATGTATGGTACATGGTGTTTCGGTAAACAAATATATTATGGAATAACAATCCATCTACCTATCCTTTATATAAAACCAAAAACTTGCAAAATTCTATTATTCCGCGAAATTAGTAAGATTTTACTTTCAAACACACCATTGGAAAAGTTTTCAACTCAAATGCAGTAAACTTATTGCAGATGTGGAACATAGACTGGCTGGAATGCTATTATTCCTTATGTCACAAGAACAAATCGTATGCGCCAACATTGTTTGCAAATGGCAGCGCCGCAAATAAGTTCTTATTATGGAATAACCAGAGGAGTAATATTCCTCTGGTTCATTAACTAATTTATTCTTGAGAAAGTCCCGGTTATCCGGGAGTAGTCGGCAAGAATAAAATAAAACTAAAGTCGTCGAGAACACGAGAGCTAGGAACAACGGTGGCGGAAGTCACAGGACTTAGAGGTGGCGGTTATGGTGTTCCTTCTTCCGAGATGTTGTACGTCCAAAATCCTGAATCGTTATAATAGAAGATCCCAAGCGCGGTTTTGGGATCTTCGAGTAAATCCGCGCGGCAGAATAAGGGTGGCAACCTTGCACCTTGTGAAGTACTCCCAAAATACCAGAGCCCTATAATGTCTAGGGCAGCAAAAAATGTTGTACAATGGCTTTTGTCATCAGTCTTTTGAATCGCAGATGTTGGAGGGTTCTCTCGGGAGGAGGAAGAACTCACGCCAAAAGCTAACAAATTTACAAAATACGTTTGTCCATAACGTGAAAATGTCGTGTGTAAATCTAAAGAGCTATAGTTGAGTATGTTTTCTGTAGTTGATTAATCATTGTCAAATATTATACCTTCATCATAAGTGACGAAAATGCTGCTATATGCAAAGAAGAAGCTTACGAACGAAGAGATATACTAACGAACTTTTAAACAAACTGTTTTGACGCACAAACAATATACAATTGTAAATGTATTGGGCGGCAACAGTCTTTATACCTATTTCTTTAAATTTATACCTAAGAGAAGTTCGAGATCCCAAGCGGTAAATAGCTCTTATAGCTACGATAACCAATTTGGCTTTAAAATGGGTTTATCTACAGAGGCTGCAATATTGACTTTTAAGCAGACCGTGAAGTATTACACACACCGTAATACAGCCTTTTATGCTTGCTTACTCGACCTGTCGAAAGCGTTTGACCTTATTAGCTATGACATCTTATGGCAAAAGCTTGCCAATATTTCAATGCCACGTGACCTTGTGATCTTTAACCCGAAATCTTTTGATAACATTCCATCAATAAAACGCAATGGTACGCCTTTGAAGAGAGTAGAGCAATTTAAATATCTTGGACACTTAGTGACGTATGACCTGAGGGACGATGTTGATATTGAGGGGGAGCGTAGGGCACTGTCGGTTAGAGTGACCGAACACCATGCTGAAATTATTTTTGGAACGTTTTGACTGTCAGTACGTGAACCATTGTTATATGTAATAGGTAGTGACTAACAAAGTTTAGTTATGACAGTAGTTTTTTTATTTTATTGTTTGATTATTATTGTTTTATAATTTTAATAAATTAGTGTTTTGATGATCTTCATATATTTAAATCCCTTATTGTTGTTAATTGGTTTGGTTGGATCACAGTTACGCTTTTGAGAATTAGTCGTGATTAATAATGTTTTGTAATTTTGAAAATCTTCATCGGTGACAACATTTAAATCAGGATTCTTTTTGAATAATAGTTCGGTCAACCCAAGAGTTTTGCTGAATTTTTGACTACCAATATCTAAATTATTGCCATCGTCATGTACACGGATTTTACCGAGCATGAGTTTACCTCTTTCATGTCTTATTCGAAATGAAATGTTAGGCATTACTTCCGATGATGAAGACCATGACAATGAGTAGTTTTTTACACTTGGCGAAGATTGCAAAGATTTAAATGAATTCGCACTCACATCATGATCTTCACTTGGTGATGTAGTGAGTGTTTTGTCCGAGAATGTGTTATAATTGTCTTTCGACTCTTCACTGTTTGAATCAGAGTTTGAATCAGCCGAATCGTCACTTGAAGAGTACGAGGATTCATTGTTATCAATTTTTTTTTCTTCCATCATTCTAATTAGCTATCACATTTAACGGATCAACAATAGGTTTAAATAATGTCTCCAATGCCATAGTATTTATTTTTTTGCATCTTTGATTAATTCAAGTTTTCTTTTTACAGCTTCTGCAGACTACAATGTCTCGTTATAAATCTTTTTCCGTCATCATAGGTTTACGTTGTTCAGAATCCGGTAAGAAAATTATTGAATAATATTACTACAAAGTATTATGTATGTTAATCTAACACTGTAAATGTATCAAATGCCTTTCCGTAACATCCCTTATATTTTTCACAGTCCTTATTGATTACTAGATAACCGAAAGGTTTATTCCAAACAGCTGAGCACTTTTCGCGAAACTGGGACCATGACATATCGGATCCCACGTGTTCATCGTAAACGTGTTTCAAATTGATATCGTCTTGTTTAAATAATATTATAAGGTTTGAATTATCCCTTATGAGTTGTTTAGGTATTTTAGTAAACGTTTGATTTACATAAAATTAATCAATGTTCTTATGACGTCCCATCGCGAATATTATTTTGTTTTACACATGCAACATCATCGAATATAAAAACTGAATTTAGCAAGGCTTCATGAGGACTTATGATTGTATTTGCGAAAAGATGTATTTGCAACCATATTCAACACTTTTTCTAAGTAAATGTATTTCGGCTGATATAAAGATTTTGAATAGACTTAAACGTTACGAAATCGCGGGCCATTTTCATGTAAAAGTAAACTTATTACCAAATTGGTTTTTCCACAGTTTGATGAACCGCAAACCAGACAATGTATAGTGTTTGGTAATAAATTACCATGTCTTTTTGTCTCCTTTACAGACGAAGGACATACACATTCCAAAGGACATTGTTCTGCGTCCACACATTGTTAGCCTAACAACCAACAATCATGAAATATTATTTTCTAGGTTCGAAATTGCAAGTGAATGACTGTAAAAACAAAGATTATTGACATACACTTCTGAGAACTTAAATTATCAGGAAAACCAAATATTTTTTGAGGTTATGTTTAATATTAAATGAAACATGGTCAACCTATGAACTTAGTATGAAGTGAATTAATATTATAACTAATTCATTTTTATTCGGTGCTATTTTAAAGAATACCTATTAGGAAAAACTTGATTAGGTAGGAATCATGAATAAAATAAAAACTGTAGGTTTGCTTCTTATTTATTGACTATTTTTCACTATTCATATATTCTATAGGTATCTTTTATGCAATATATCATCTATATTTTGTACTAAAATAACAAAGAAAAATCTGTTCATCGTTCAACACCATGGAACCACTAGCTGAGCCACAATTAACACAAAATGTAGATTCCATTGCGTCAAATCGTAAGTCCAATAGGAATGCAGTTATCGTTAAAGCAAGGTACAAAGTCCGTGATTTAGAGCCGGGTAACCGCTATAGCAAGATATCAAGTCTGTTGGAAAGCCGAAATAGTTATAAATAAAGGAAAAACCATCGCAAATAAACACACACAACAGGTAATCCGAAACGAGAATGTACGACTGCCACAGATTACTACGAATGCAAACTGCCTACACCACAACCACAGAGTATCGAGTTTTATGCCGGCCTTTCACTTGACAACGGTCTATCCTTGTCATGCTTAATATGGAATGAAAAGGACAGAGTGATGTCAAGTTTTCAAATAGCAAACACGAATAGCCAAGTGAAGTGCCGGTATTAGGAAGAAAGAGTGTTTTGTTTGCAGCGCTGTCACATAAAATGGTAGTTATTGTCTCAGATTATTTTTTTTACTTTTTAATCTAGCTTACTTAACTGGAAGTGTCCGTCAAAATCTAAATACTAATAATTATCCCAAAAAATATACTAAGAATTATCATAAATGCCAATGGCACCATTGGTGTTGGTTCTTAGGCCAATTTTAACATTGTCCTTTAACGTTTCTTTCTGTTTAACAAATTTCATTACAGCTTATTGATCTTGATCACAGCGTGCTTCTAAACAAAATGAGCTTAAACGCTGTCACTGTAACATTTAAACTTGATAAGTTGTTCACTAGTTGGAATGATCGACCAGCACCGACAGCGATAGTATTACGTTGTAAATCGCTTGCATCTATTTGTATTTGTATTTAAGATTATGGGAATTCTAACTCACGAGTGAGGTCGCGGGTGCGACCGAACGAAAGTGAAGAACTGTTTTATCAATTATGGTGGTCACCCTCCTGGTTACAACGAGACGAATCTCAGTGGCCACAGTTACCAATCAATATGCCTCATAATTTAACTGGATTCAAGAAATTGGTCAATACAATTACTCCAGTTGAGTCATGGGAGGACACATTACTCTCACGGGTCAGTTCGTACACCAAATTAATAAATGTTACTTCATATGTACTCAGGTTTTGCAAGAATATCAGATTACCTAAGGAGAAAAGGAATCTTAAACCTACACTTTCACTAGAAGAGGCGCG